AAGCAATGTATTATCTACATTTGTAACATATGAGGAATCTACTCTAAATAGAATGCTCTTTACATCCAGAGTTGGGGGCTCTTATCAAATAATTGGCAGGAAACTAATCAGATCTTTGACATTCATATGGGGAAAGAAGCAGCCACATTATTTTTGTGCTTTATTAATGTACATTTATTAAATTGTTGGTAAAAATCTAAAGAAATGCAAGGCCAGATTGAATGATTCACTCAGCCAACTGGCTTTAGTTAAATATTAGTATTTTTTATGTGTCGGGTGCTCTTCTAAGTGTGGAGGAGATATGAAGACCAATAATAAAGCATCAATCCTGGCCTCAAAGAGCTCATAGTCTATTCCAGAGGCACATACAGTTGCTGTTCACTACTAGAAGATTCTGATTTGTGATATTGCCTACCTGTTAAAATGTATTTGTAACCTCAAACTCAATGCTCCATCGCTTTTGTGATCTGTAGCCATTCCCCAAGCATGAAGCACTTGAGGCACCCAGAGAGGCGTGTTCCCAGCTGAGGTCCAGCCAGACCATATTCTGCCTTGTTTCAGTTCGCATACAGCGTCCTTTTTGTGATCTATTTAGTGTTACACTTCTTTCTCGTTTTTGTGCTTGTTGACTGTGATTACACTGTTAAATAATGACCTCAAAGCACAGTGCTGAAGTGGCATCTAGTGTTTCAAAGAAGGCTGGGAGGTTCCTTACAGAGAAAATACATGTGTTATATAAACTTCGTTCAGGCATGAGTTATAGTGCTGTTACCATGAGTTCAGTGTTTTTTGTTTTTGTTTTTGTTTTTGTTTTAGGTGGAGTCTTCCTCTGTCGCCAGGCTGGAGTGAAGTGGTTCGATCTCGGCTTTCTGCAATCTCCACCTCCCTTGCTGGAGAGATTCTCCTGCCTCAGCCTCCCAAGTAGCTGGGACTACAGGCATGTGCCACCACGTGCAGCTATTTCTTTTGTATTTTTTTAGTAGAGACAGGGTTTCACCATGTTGGCCAGGATGGTCTCGAACTCCTGACCTCGTGATCCGCCCACCTCGGCCTCCCAAAGTGCTGGGATTACAGGCGTGAGCCACCACGCCCAGCCAGGTTCAATGTTAGTGAATCAACATTGTATATTAAATAAAGTATTTTTAAACAGAAACACACATAAAGCAAGTTTATGTGTTCATTAGTTGACGAATATGTGACCAAAGGCTTACAGGGAGCTTAACCCTATATTTCCCCCAGAAGCTTTTGCTCAGCATTTATTCAGTATTTAAGAGACATTATAGAATATAGCTACTGCACATAACAAGAACCAACTGTGTAGAAACTTATCCAATCACCACAGCGTGGTGAGTGCTCCTGTAGAGGTATGAGTGCTAGTCTATGGAAGCACATGGAAAAGAACAATTGACTTGGTCATGGAGAGTTGAAGGAGTCATTCTAGAGGGGTTGCTTTTGAATCAGGTTTCAAAAATAATGAGTAGATACTCAAAGAACAGACCAGGTTGAAAGGTCATTCAAGGCAGTGGTGAACCATGTGTAAAGGAAGGAAGGTCTGGAAGAGCCTGACATGCTCAGTGATTCAAAATGAGTAGAGGCAGAACTCTTAAGTCGTGTGCTCCAACTCAGCCACGGGCAAGGATTTGCAGCTATCACAAAGTTTCTCTACACAGTTTGGGCTGCGATTTTTGCAACAAGGAAGTGTGCAGCATGTCAGCTGTGAAAATTGGCTCCACGTTCATAATCAAATCTATTATGCTCCCTCTGAAACCTAGTCCATGTTTCCGTAGAAACCCCTAGTTATATAAAGGGGCCCCGGACAGCAATTGGCAAGAAAACCCACCACCTTTGGAAGCTATTATAGTAATGCCAGGGGGAAAACATTATATAATTCCTGCTGGAGATTAGTGGGCTTGGAGGGCAAAAATAAAGATTCCTTCCTCACAGAGTACCAAGCACAGAGCACTACAAGGCTTCACCACACAGGATTCCTCCGTCTCCCCGCCCTGTCCTTATCCATGAATTAACCCACCAGTCAGTGGGTTAATGAGCACTTTAACACAGCTTGGAATGAGCACTTCCCACACTCCCAGTGCAATTCAAGGCACCACGAGGCCACACGCACAAACACACACACGACACGTTACGTATTTTTTCTTTTACAGCTACAAAGCAGTTTATAATAGCCTTTGCATCAACCTTCTCAGGTAGATTTTATTACTCCAATTTTATGGAAGAGAAAACAAAAACACCAAATGATAAAGTATGAAGTGAGTGGCAGAATTCAGATTTATGTTCAGCTTTGACTTCAAATCTACGGTTTCATCTGTGACTCAGAAAAAATTTAAAAAGTCCCTGTCCCTGAGAAACTTGTTTATGTGAAAGTCCTGAATGCCACTACTAAGAAACAGCTGTCACACGTGATGTGTCAAAGGAGTAAGTGGTTCAGACTGTCAATTTTATAGAAATACTCAGAGGACAGAAGTTCAAGCCCAAGGTATCACGCTGTCCCCTAGGCCACCATTAGCATTGGAAGAAATAATTTTTGGTAGCTGAGATGGCAGAGGTAGGAATGTCATCAAAAGTCCAGAAGCAGAAAGGATCCTTCGAAGAGGGAAGAGTTAGGTGGGAAAGGGAAATGTAAATGGTTGAGTGATTTAGAGGGAATGCTTCACACGGTCTTGGACAGGTCTCAGTGGGTGGAGAGGGCACTGTTGCCTCCTCTTCTTTCTCCATTCACCGTTGCTAAGGACCTTAACCTCTCATCAGTCTCCTTATTCGGTACTCTGGTCAAGGCCACGTAGTCCCCAGGAGCTCCCAGGATCAAGTACAGATTCTCAGGCTGATGTTCTAGCTCTGCATCTCTGTCCCATGTTGCGGGATCCCCCTGGTACGTTGGCCACCCCGGATCACTTTTCACCCAGGCTCCACTTTGCCTCTCTGCGTGGAGTGTCTTTGTCCCCACTTCCTGCCTTTCGAAGTCTAACTTTCCACCTTCAATTTTAGCTTAAAACTGCCCTTTTCAAGAACTACTCTCAGTTTCCCTCAATCACAATGAATTCTTTCTTTTCCTGGGCCCATATGGCAAATATCTCTATTGTACACCATTTCCACATCCAGCCTGTCTGTGTCCTCCTCAAGACCAGGGAACTGTGTCCTTATTCCATCACTTAGCAGTGCCTGGCACATCATCCATGCTTCATCAATCTCTTTTAAAAAACAAACACATGAAAAAGATGTCCTTGAAGCTAGAATAACTCGGTTTACATTTAATTTAATTAAGATATTAAGCAAAGATATTTTAGCAAACATTGTGAGTGATGTTTTCCATCTCAACTTACCTGCCTCCTAAATGACAGTTTAATTTAACTATAATATTTATTATAATAACCTTTAAACTTGTTATTAGTATTACTGATAAAGTTAAAAGACTTTCATCAGGTTATTGTGTCTTAGGAAACAATTATTACGCTCCACACTGATCATTAGAAAACCCTATTATTTCCTAATAGGCTGGGCAATACCATGCAGGTATCCCTCAATTATTAAAACAGAAGCCATCTCTAAGTGTGTGGAAGTGAAATCTCAGGCATCAAATAGTCTACTCATAAACTTAAGCTGTATTATTAGAGACAGATGGGTGTAAGGCGAAAAGTCCTCGCATGGTCTGAAATGATAGTGTTTTATGGGGATGAATGGTGTCTGTGGCTGATGAGTCCTTGCTGGTCCTCAAACCTAGCCAAGCTCAAGGGGAACAGATTATGCCAGAAAATTTTAGGGGTGTGTGTGTGTGTGTGTGTGTGTGTGTGTGTGTGTGAAGTAGATATGGTTTAGCTCATGGCAAGAAGGCTTTTCTCATAGAAACACTCACAGATAAAACACCTTTGCGGAGATTGACAACGGAGGCTGGTCTAGGGCTTGGGGAAAACTCAAAAAGATAATGGGAAAGTGTTTTTCTGGTCCTAAGGACCCCTTCCAAGTGGGAAATAATTTCACTCTAACTAGGCAGTGCCTTCCTGCCCTCTGTGAATTTTTGCCAAAAAAAACAGACCAAGAGTCTCTGTGGGCAGTTCAGGAGAGCCTCTCAGAGCCCAGAGGAAACTTGGGCAGTAAGTCCCTCCAGGAGAAGCACCCTGGATATCAGAAGGGAGAGGGACCTCAGCACGTTCTCCTGACCCCAGCCCACACAGGGCCCCAACCTGTGCAGCGTCGGGCACATACCTTGGCACACTACGGGAATTTAACACATGTTTCATGGTGTTCTGGCTGATGGACTAGGAAAGGAAGCAGCCGAAGCCGGGGTCCCCAGGAGCTCTCCCTCCCCTCAACAGGAGCTCTGACTCACAACCTGTTTGGCACTACTGAGTCCTCTCTGGTTTCCTGAATCTCCCTCTCTCTAATGCAAAAACCCTCCATGGCAGATGTTTTAGAACAATGATCCTGTCAATGATGCTTTCTTTTTGCATCCTAGAATTTTTAAAGTGTTTTTTCGGACTAACTCTTGAAGGTTAATTACATCTTTTGGATTAAGCCTTTGGGAAGCCTTTACTGTGATCCCATGGGATAACTGCGGGCCCCCAGGATGAGATCTGTTAATAGGATGGGCGAAAAGGAACTGGGAGCGAGGCTGGGTTCAGAATCTCAAGTAATTTGGGAGCGGGCCTAGGGATTGGGATGATTTGGCTGGCCATGGATTTGAAGGTGAATGAACGTCTGGAGATTGCGGGGATTCCTCCTTTTTCTTGGAGGGCAATAGTGGGTGTGGAGGAATTCGGTGCGCAGAAACAGAAAGGTCTGCTTCAGGCTTCCTCCGGGAGGGCAAGGCCAAGAGGCCAAGGCTGTGAAGGGGCGGGGGCGACCGCGCTGGGCGGGTCCGCACCAGCTCCTGGGAGCAGAGGGCAGAGGCGGGAAAGGAGATGGGGGTCGTCCGGGCGAGGGTGAGGACGCGGCGGGTGACAGCGCGGGTGGGGATCCCCGGGGCTGGGGCGGGGCGGCCGCCGCGAGCCGGGCTGGGGGCGGGGCGGGGCGGGGCGAGGCGGGGCTCCGGGGCCGTCTCGCAGGCTGCGGCGGCCGCGGGAGAGGCGTCCACGGCGGCGGCGGAGCGGGCGGCGGAGCTGGGCGGCGGCGACTCGGTGAGCGCGGCGCGGCTGGGGGCGCGCGGCAGGGGCGCGGGCGGGGGTCTGCGGGCGCGGGGCTCGGCCTGCGCGGGGCACCGCGGGGCGGGGCGGGCGCCTCCCGGCCACCCTTCTCTCCCCGGACGCCCCTGCAGCCTTCTGGAGGGAGGCAGAGCGGAGGACCCGGTCCTGGAGCCCTTCTCCAGCGCTTACCGGCCAGAGGTCGGGCTTTGTACCCCGTAGCCCCCTTTCTGCGGTGGCTGCCTCCTGGTTGTGTTCCTTTCCCAGACCACCCTCCCTCGTCCCTCACTCACTTACTCCCCACCCCCAGGTAGCATAAGCTCCAGTCTTGCAGGGTACCCCAATACTCCCCTTCCCACCACCCGAGGCCCCGGGCTCCTGGACACTCTACAGCCCCAGAAGGAAGGATGGACCTCCTTCCGCCGTCCCTATACACCTGGACCCTTCCGCTGCCACCTGCCACAGACGGTCTTAGCCAGCCTGAAAGCTGCTGTGCCTGGGACCCAGCACTCCTTGCCGTCACCCTCTCTCCTCCCTCAGAACCCAGAACCCCAGTTTGGCAAAAGGCACTTTTCCAATATTGAGCTTTGGGAACAATTTGACCCACTTCCCAAAATGCTGGTCCCAGGCCAGCCATGCTTTTTGGTGGAGACACCTGTCTTGTCTGCCAGGAGACATTCACTGTCAAAATGGGCCAGCCCGTCCCTGGGTCCTCCTCCAAGCTGCTCCTACTTGCTAGCCAATGTCCTCAGAGACCAGGGGCCACTAGCTTTGTCATTTAAGGCCTCCAAAGCTATTTCCCAACCCATCCCCAGAATTCCCCCAGTCACTGTTTGGGGAGTGCCAAGTCCAGAACTGATGGAGCGACCCTTCTGGGTCCAGGGCCTGATGTCCTCTCCCACATCCTTGTTTACCCGCCTGCTCCCCAGGGAACCCTAGACAGGGTCACGGGGCTGGAGTTTAGGGCCTTGATCTCCCCTGAACCTATGTGACCCTCCTTTTTTTCCTGTTAGAAACTTTCCTCTCTGTCACCAGTCACTATCTCCTCTGGATGGGACCTGGGCCATCTGCACAGTGTCCAGTCCCCAGGGCACAGAATGCCGATCTGGGACCCTGGGAGGCTGGGACTTGTGCCGGGCCAGCAGGAGGAGAGTGGCTGCTAGCCGAGTCTGGGCTTGGGGAGCAGGGGTCTTTGGGTGGATCGATTGTCAGCTTTCACTGATCTCGGGTTGGGGGTGAGGGCTTGCTTTGCAGTGGAGACAGGAGGCAGAGCAGGGGCTGTTTTCCCTGCGTGCTTCTGACTGTCTTGTGTTGCTATGGTGACAGTTTTGCCTGTCTTGTTCCTTCTCACTTTTCTGGGAGCTGGTTTTTATTGGTCTGTTGTCCTGTCTTTCATGGCTCTAATTTCTCCTTTCTACTTGCTCTGAAATAAACAGTCATAAACATGGGCGCTGGGCCCAGGCTGGGGGCTGGCAGAACTTCACCTCCTGCTGGCCCTGGGTTCCTGTGAGGGGAGAGTGGGAAAGCGAGGTGGAACAGACCTGCCCACATTCCCTCCTGCCTCTGGGCTCTGGCTCTGGGAAGGAGCAGCAGCATCACAGCTTGGGCACATAGTGGGCGCATAGTACCTCGGTGCTAAAAGCAGATCCCAAACGTGGAAGGACCTCACTGGTGTTACTTCCTTTCATCTTCACAATAGCCACGGGGGGCAGGGACTCTACAGTTTGCAGATGAGGAAACTAAGCTCAGAGCAAGTGAGCTATTTCCCTGAGGTCACATTGATTTGAGCACACAGTCAGCCCTCAGTTTTGGTTGAATGAATGGAAAAGTGATGAGACTGACATACACGCATCTCAGCTGGGCTCCCTGGCCCAGTCCCAGAGGGACCACAGAGACCTCCTCAGTCCAGCTGCCTAAACCCGCACTCTAGGAGGCTCTCGGACGGTGTCTCCACTTTCCCTGTCCCTGCTGGACTCCTGTGGAGGAAGCTGCCAGGGAGCTGCCTGGTGTGTCCCAAGTGTACCCTTGACCTGAACTGTTGAGGACCCCAGCTGAGCGCAGAGAGAACCACTTGTGATTTCCTGTTTTTACTCAGCACCAAGAAGAATTCAGTTTGCTTTTACTCCCAGGCCCAGATGCAACCAGCTAAGTCAGGGACACAGAGTTGAACAGACCCTCCCAAGCTAGCCCTGGGCAGGGAGTTCATAGCTCCCCAGGGCCATAGGGGCACCCACTGTCAGCTATCAGTGAGTCTCCAGTGTGGCTGTTCCCTCCCTTCCCTGGTGTTTATGCGTCAGTACTCCCTTCACGTTGCCACGCTCTAGGTTTATTAAAGGTAAGCTGAGCAAGTATTATGATAGCACAAGAAGACCAGAGAATCAGCAGCCTCAGTGTCAAATGTTGGCCCTGAGAAAATCGATTCACTCATATAGCCTCAGTTTCTCAGTCTTTAAAATGCGGTTGATGGCATCTATCCTATTGGCCACATTTGCCTGTCCTGTTCTTTTAGGATGGAATAGAATAGCCTACAGGGAGTGTTTTGAACACTTCGAAATACCGAAGAACCCATAATGTCCTGGTTCTTTTGGGAGATCTCAGTGTTAAAGAGAGCCCTGAATCACTGTCCAGAGATTGAGAACTGACTTAGGAATAATTAGGCTATAAAATATCAGTGTTAGAGGCATCCTCCAGAAGCATTTTGCCCAGCCTTGATGTTGAATCCTTTAATTCATTTATGTACCCTACCTTTATTGAGTATCTGCTCTGTACCAAATACATTTTTGGAAACAAGGGATTCAAAAAATGAACAGTCTTTCTGTTTTTTAAAAAAAAAAAATGTAGTCAAGGGAAAAGATCCTTGTAAGACAGTGAGAGAGGTGGTGTGATAAAAGGAAGGGCAGGCTGATGTGGGCCCAGAGATGGCCACTTGACTAAGTCACCCATGAGGGTTGAATCAGGTGGCCTGTGCATTGTGGCCAAATACATTTGTCCTTCCACTGCCCACTTGAGGAGCAATGGAGTGATGGCTAGAGAGCCACCCATCAGCCATTGTAAGCAGCATAGGGGAGAGAAGCATGGCAGGGAACCAGGCCTGCCTTTCTCACTGAGTTTTGACTCATCCTCTCATAGAAGCCTCCAGTTCCTACTTCATCATGGTTAAAATCTTGTCTCAGTGGCTGCATGAATTACCTGACAAGGCATCATGGTGATTGGAAAGAAAGTGGTCTTAAGAGTCAGGCATGAGATCAAACTCCACTACTGCTTTGTCTTAGCTGTGGTTGAAGGTGCATCTAACCTCTTTGGGTCTCAATTCTTACGTCTGAGAAATTGCAATAATTATATTTGCATTCTAAGATTTAAAGGATCTGATGTATTTAGAGGGTCTGGCATGGTGCCCGCCTCACAGTAGACTTGCTGTTATTTAGTTATATTGATTAGAAATGTGTTCTCAGTTACTGGGCCTCTGGGTCCCCTTAGAACCATGGTACAAAGCTCTTTGGATGAATTCTAGCCTTTGGAGATCCATTCATTATCTGAGAAGGTTAAAAATTGCCTGTGCTCAGGCTCCTAGCACTGCTGGTTAATTTTCAAGTTATCTTTCACTAGATAAGCTATGTTCCGCAATATCACTACAGCGCAGGAATTACTAACACTTTTCATTTCTCAGAGAAGAACAAATTTGAGGTGGCAATAAACACCCTGAGTTTTAGAAACGTATTCTATCTCTGAGAATACTTTAAAATGAATGCTTCGTGTTTTTTATTCTGAGCATGTTGAACTTTTTTTAAGCTACCATAAACATGAATATACATTTTTCCCAATTATCACTACAACTCTGTGACATTAGTATCATTGTCTCCATTTTACAGTTACGAAAACAGGGAAAGGTAAAGTCCCTTACATCGTGTCTAGCATCTAGGAAGTGGCAGGACCAGAATTTAAAGCTAGGTTCCACTTGCTCTTTGTGCTGTGGTACACAGTCTTGTCGTTTCCTTGGCTGGCATGTCAGTGACCTAAAATAATTGTATTTGGATAATGCAGGCAGATTTTAACAGGGGTGGAACTGGTCAGCGTTGTAACTCAGTCTCTTAGTAAATATTTAGAGAGTTTATTAGGGTTTAGCTCTCAACATAGCCTTAAGAAGGGTTTCTGCAGTTGGCTGGGGTTTTATTTCTACAAGTGATAAATAGAAGAGGAGTTTGACACATCTGAGTTAAGGGAAATGTTTGATGGTGCTAGAAGTAGCTTCCTTTGCCCAAGAATGGATTGCTGGTTTGTCACTGAAATAAACTGAACCTTTAGGCAGGCCAAGATTTTGTGATTGAATTTATGAATGGAAAGCATAACAGTTGCTTTCCAGGGATACAAAGACAGGAGAAACAATAAGGTCAGAACATATGAGTGGATGGCTCTTCAAACACAAAGGTGATCTGGATTCAGTCTATTTTTTTTTTCTTATTTTAAGACAAGGTCATGCTCTGCCACTCAGAGTGCATTGATGACATTGTAGCTCATTGCAGCTTCGAATTCTCCAGATCAAGTGATCCTCCCACCCCAGCCTCCTGAGAAGCTGGGACCATAAGTGTGCATCACCAAGGTCTTTTTTTTTTTTTTTTTTGTAGAGGTGGGCTTTCTCCATGTTGCGCAGGCTGGTCTTGAACTCCTGGGCTCAAGCAGATCTTCCGCTTCAGCCGCCCAAAGTGCTGGTATTCAGTCTGTCAGTACAGCTATCACCTAGGAAATTGGAGATATTGAAAAGCAGTTATAGAAATGCTCATGAACCTTTCTTGTGTAATTTAGAAGCCTAATTTCCCTAGTTTAAGAACCCCATTTTCCCCACAAATCCAAGAGCTGAAAATGGGTGCCATGTTTCCCAGCAGTGTGTTTACCAGGTCCGGCTTGGCACTGCAGACAGATGCGTTTCTATTTGCAATTATCTCAGGGCCTGAGTCTGGTGTCTGCTTATTTAATGACTTCACTTTCTAATAAAAATTCTG